CATCATGACATTCCTTTCACTCAGCGTACCCTGCGACTATGCGGACTAACGCTAGGAAGAAGAAGGTATTCCTTTCACTCATATCCCTCATTTTGTTTATTTCATTCCTATTTTTTACTCATATAGTGAATCTTCTCAGTATATGGTACAGAGGAAAGAATGTATCGAGGCTCTGATAGGAGGGCTGGAGGGAGTCGTAAAATTGGCGAACAGTTTCAAATGCCGCGGTTGATTCTGCTCGAAAGTGTAGGTGACGGAAGGGTGTAGTGCTGAACAAGTACGCTATACGCGTACAATACGGCAGTGTCCAGGCGAAATCGGGAAGGCACTCAACATCGAAATAGCCTGACCAGTCCAAGGATGGCGCTGTAGTGAAGTTCCTGCCATACGAGGTGGACGTGAGCAGCCTCTATATTTATCAAACAATTACACTGACCTTTTTTGGGACCCTTGTATGACTCCTTTTCTTTTGGTGATATATTGATGTTGTGGCTAAATCCTTTTTCATTAACTTCATTCAGATAAGGCGTCTACCGAGCGAAGCCGAATTTGGATGCTACTGCGAGTTCGGTCATGGGAAAACTTGGGATGAGATGCTTATTCGCTGCTACTTCAAACCAGCTATCATTAAATTTGCATCTGGGCACATTGGCATTGCAGAAGACTTTGCATAAACTCTTCATATGGAGATTGCATGAGTGGATTAGAGGTTTAAAATATCAGGACCATGACGGCTATTTTTACGCAATACGCATACGATCAGAGACATTGTGATTGCTCGGATACAACCTGAAAGCAGATCACCTCTGCGAGTTGGAGTTATCCTTTCGTATAGCATACATTATACGAACACCTATACGATTTCCACCAAATTTGCACGTGGAATTTAAAAACAGTGGGTTCATACGTTTATCTTCATCTGCAAAGCAATTGTCAATGATGAGATTTCGGAGCTAGGGCGTTTACCTATACAAGCACTTGTACTTATGCTTGATGGCTTGCATTAGTGATAGTGAGTACAGCTTTCCTGGCAATGAATGATGCAATTAATGGTCAACACATCACCTGCGGGCGATTTTGATCGCTTAATCTAAGACGATTTCTTGAACTGTTAGTTAGTCACAGTTACATTTCAATCCCTCCTACACGCTCAGCATGAGATTATTCAAAGACGCTGCCAGCTGCGACCTCCCTTAGCTTTTCCGTTCACCTTCGGAAGTTCCACTGGTGTTGACAAAACTCAAACACGGGAAGGACTCTTCACATGCGAATTTCACTGCTTAGCTAAGCAGGCGACCAAATGTTCACACACGTAGAAGATAAATGGCGACAGTGGAGGATGTCACTAATAGAACAAGCCAACGGGACCATGATTTTCTTTTCGATATCCTATCTGAGCTTCGTATAGTGAGGCACCATGATAAGCATCAAGAAAAGGAGGGGTGGTTCTTGGGAAGTTGTACGAGCATCACAGACTGCAAAGCACGCTCTGCTACGTGTTCCCATACAGGCCACAAGATTGGTTAAGAGTTCTTGAGAAAAAGCGATTTATTCCTTGGAGACCGCCATTGGCAACTGCTGGACGGTTGTTGGCATGCGCATGGGGATGCGTTAGAATTGCTCTACTGAATGCACGCTACACGTGCTCCATAGGATTTGACTGGTGAACGGAGCAGCCACAAATCGCCCGAATCTCCTTCAAAATGTTCCCACCTGCTCCACGAATGTTCTACGCACCATGTCTTCCACACAGAAGTTGAGTAGTCAAGAGCCCTACTGGGACAATGCTACAACGAGAGGGGTTACAAGTACAACTAGCGTTGATTAGAAAGTGGGATCGCGGCTCACTTAGTGGGGTAACACGCGCGCGCAAATTCAGCCTCCCCTTCCATCTTCGGCCTATTACTAATCATAAACGAACATTTTGAACGATGATCCTAGGCGTCCTTGTTCTAATCATCCTACCTCACAGTAAATCACGCCGTCAGTTGATGAAACAAATATCTGCGGTTTCAATGTCGGTCCATCTATAATGTCCCGGCTCTTACCAATCTTCCCAGTCGAGGCGGAGGTTTCAAAGGAAATACCACGGTGCTAACGTCGAGGGGAAGACCACCCCCCCTTTTTTTTTTCTCTTCCCCCCTTTCCCCCATATGGTCCGTTCGCTGTCCGGGCTGAACTCACGTGCTTACCAATCCTGAAAGGTTTTGCCAAGTGCACTTGAGTGGACTCTATTTTGCCCGTGCAAAAGCGTTGCAATCACTCTGCTGTTGGGTTGACGTGATTCATCATCAGGCGCTTCTTTAGGCAGCAAGTACAAGGCCTGCGCGAGTCCATATTGCTCCCCATGACGTCCGCAAACACATGTTTATTATTCACACAAAACTTGGACACACGATCCTTTTTAAGTTTCCAGTGCAGTCTTTCACCTTGAATTCACCACAGTGCCTAACCAGGGTCAAGCGAACCGTGAGGAAAATTTGAAATACGACCCCCCTCCCTCCGCCGAGCCGAAGTCCATGAAACGACCCTCTTCAAAAGCCGAACTATGAAAAGGTTGTTTAATTCTCCCCCAAAACTGTTCATAAAAAAAGCCCTGCTACCCCACCGCCCACAAAAAAATCGTTCAAGAAGTACAAGTACAAAAGTGAAAAAGTCAAAGAATTATCATTATTGATGAGTCCTACCAAACGAGCAAACGAGGAAAGGAGCAAAAAACGACAAACTGGTCACTAATGGCATACTATGACAACATCCCTTCATTATTCGTATAACTTCGTGGAGGCGATTTTGATGGACGTGGTAGCAGCTCTTTCTTTAATCAGTTTTGGGGAGAATTAACAGCTTTTTCATAGTCGTTGGCAATCCCGGCCCACAAAAATTTTGACGGTCGTATATCGGATTCGTTCTACGGCATCGGTAGGCGGAGTCGCATTATTCCAAATTTCCTCAATTGTCGCTTGACCCTGGACTAAACGGATATGAAAACATATGAAAAGCTATAACATTTTCAGCAGCAGCAGCCCCCAGAAACTCGGAAGCACATCGACTAAACAATAAAGAACCGACACCGTCAAAACAGTCCCAGCAACACATAAGCAGATTGGAGCGACTCGCAGGTCGCTCCAATACCGCATTAGATCCAATCGCAACTGCCAATCAGCTCTCCAGTCGAGGAGAGTTGGCAAGCGACCGGACATCACAACTCAGGAACATCGACGGGGCCGGGACCAATACGCAGTCGGATCTTGAGCACTTCATGAAAAGCGATCAGCTTTCCGTCTCACACATAATACAGTGTATATTCTCTGTGTCTAGAATCACCATAAATGCCTCGCACATAACGCAGATCGAATCTACTACTCCAGTAATACCATCCAATAACTAACCCACGTTCTCAAAGCTAAGCCTTGAATCGCGGCTTCAGAATCGTATGCTCACAACGAGCCGGTTGAGGCCACCAGCAAATGTCATCCAGCAGCGTCTGGCACGCTTGACCGGACGTGTAACATCTTACGTGTCAACACGCATGGCTAAAAATGTCCGTGACTATACTCGCTACACTGCGCAGGTAGACAGTTCATCCAGTACACCCATTGTCAGTTTCGCCACAGAACCAGCTAATATTTGCAATCAAGCCTCAAAGAACTTTCTTGAGGCAAATGACATGCCACATAATGACGTTGAATTAATGACTGTCGCTGAGTTTTTTAGAAACTCGTCTTGAACGTTGAATGTATCACCTAATATCACAATTCTCAACAAATCACCTTTTCTTACCAGATATGTAGTACAGACCTCGTAGCGCTTGCTGAGAGCGATTCTATAAAAAGCACATATCTTTAATTGGCAGATCATGAAGATGCCAAACTTTGGAAAGATCCCTAAATAACCGCGATGGAAGTTCCAATGCAGGAAAGTAGCTTCGACAGCTGAGCGAAGGACATCACCTATCTGTTACGCGCGGTGACACACTGTTAGTCACTACATGACCAGTGCATCTTCAGAATTAGTTCGTTCTCTATACGAGCGCAGTTGTACACCCACACAACATACATACTACCATGCATACATGCCATACTCCCCACACCACTCACCGGATTATTGTCAGCAATATCGGATCTGATTTGATTACCCATGGAAACTTGGTTAAGCGGACGCCTCGAGTCGTTGATTAGCATGACTGCCGCGCGAACACGCGGACGAGGGCAATATCGATCCCGTACCATGACGCGTACGGGACGTTCTGCTATTCCTATGATCACCCGAACAGTCCTTTGAATTTTTCTCCGAAACTTCAAGGCGCAGATATGTCGTCTCGAAGAGGTTGTTCCTATGTGCTTCTTCTCGCGGTCGAAAGTAACGCCGAGTGGCCACCGCGATGCAACAACTGCCTACCTTATGCTACACTGCAGTGCTTTGCGATGGTTAACTGCTATCGCACCGCGAGTCTTACCTCATTACCGCAATGAGCTCCCGTACCTAAGACAGGCCCGCTATGTACTTGCAAATGCGACCCCCCAGACAAGAGACCGTGTCCATTTTGGAGTCGACCGAATGCGATAGTTGATCATGGGCCTCCCATTAACACCACACCCACATTTCAGTCATTCACATCTTGAAGCAACATTTCACCTATGGTTTCCATTATCTTGAAATACATTTCTCAACTCCTCTCGATAATGACAATGTACTTATTTTAGGTTCGTTAGCAAGCAAGTTGTTAGCACCAAAACATGAGGTAGCCAAATGCGATAAAACGAAACTTTGATTGAAAGATAATGCAACGCAATTACAATACTTGTGCAATTTGTACAACAAATCTATTTCTCGCAACACACCTTAAACGATATTTACAGAACATAAAGATTATTACGACGTTCTGGAATCCTACTGAATGCTAACAATGTTATTTTGTATACACCGTATGGTTTACCATGGTCGATGTTTGGGCTGGCAGAGTGAAGATTCATTCCCGTTAGATCAAAATAGTGGAAAAGTCAGTATCGTCCTTCGAATTTGGCATTCAAAGCGGTCTTTCCATCACCACTTTGGTTATCAGGGGGAAGCCAAGTGGCATACCGATCATCGTCGATACTATAATAAAAGCAATACAACGAGATATGCATCAAGAGAAGTGATGACGAACGGCATCTCCAATCCTGAGATGACATGAGGAATAGAAAGGGCAAAATAAGTTATTACTCACCCATTTCCATAATCCTCACTAGTCTCGGTAGAGGGTCGATTTCCTCGCACCCTCACACGTCGTTTCTTCTTAGCTGCTTCATTTGTAGCCTCACCTCTCCAGAAAGTGATCGTTTCCCTACCTTTCGTTCATGAGTACCTTCACTACTCATATCATCAGGAGCAGCACGAGACGATGACTGAGGTTCGTCCGCTGAAAACAGCTTTGGCACTACAATGAATGGGAGGGAGGACAAGTGAAATACATTCGGTCCACCCGATATGAACGACCAAAGTCTCTTACTACCTACTTGAATATAACCCTACCTTTCACTTCGTGACGAGCTCGCGTATCCGATTTTAGACCTTGGGGGCTTTCAAGGGATATTTCTTCAGAAATTTGTTCATCAGCTCTAGAAGCCACCGGGGCAGGTTGCGTTTCCACTTCTGAAAATTGCTTCTTCTTCTGTTGTGAAAAAGGATTGACTCTAATTGGCACCGATTATGTAAGAATCAAGTAATACTTTCCATAATCGCAATCTGTTATGGGATAATTCTCGCACCATAACCCCTGTAGCTGAATCTATTCCATACCTCTACACTCACCTTCTTTACATGAGTGCTTCTTCGGTTTGTGATCTTGATCGCTCCTACTACTCGCTTCGTTGTTAACTGGTTGGCTTGTTTCAGAAGCCTCCACTGACCGTTGCGATTCTCCTTCTTTTGCAATTACTTCATGAATTATTGAAAAACCCCGTAGGAAGTAAGTTTCATATAATTAAAAGCTGCCACCCCACCCTACCACCAGGCATGCCTCGTAATATTGGTTGTCTCATAATTACTGTCGCAATTTCGACACTTTTGTTTATTCAAGTTTTATCTCTTCTGGGAAACAACTGACTAATAGCATAACCACCATCATGGTCACTGATATGCGTGCATTTACTAGTGGGCGTTTGGAAGCTTCCAGCCCAGAATGAAGGAAACTGGGGGTTGAAGAATTTGGAGAAGTCGTTTTTGGGGTGACCGCAATCTTTAACTTTCTTCTCTGGCAGATGCTTATTCAAAGCGCAGGGGAGGCGATAGTCCGATAGAGCGATGCCAATGCTATATGGTGGATGAGGTATCGTGGCCCTGGCTATCTCCCTCAGAACGTGGTGAGTTGGCATTGCAATGTGAGGTCTGGTGTACATTCGGAGGAAGGAGGATCTGAGACGTTTCTGACGATTCTCTCGCAACCCCAAAGCCAGCCAAGAGGGCTATTCCGCGCTGACTTTAGCAATGCTTGTCTTCATACATTGAAGTGGTTCCCAAACCAGGCCACCTAGCGAATCCAATAAAACGAGAGCGATATTCTCAGAAAACGGAGTTCGGGCTTTGGTTGAGCTGGTGCTTCCTGGCTGCGAGGCAGCCATAAGACGTGCCGCATGTTGTTGTCGCAGTGGACTCATGACTCATTTCCACCGGTGACCGATTAGGGAAGACTCTGCTTTTGCCATCCAAGAATGGGTTTTCCCCAGGTGATCAGGCGTGCTTCCCGCTCATGGTCGGCCGGACCATAAGGTTTCCATCAAAACTTCACTCTGCAGCAGTCCTTGCCATACTGATGGTGTGCTGGTGCATCGGCTGCGCTCAGGTATCTGCTACAATACCCTGGTAGCAACGTGCGGAGGCACTCCCAATTTAGGGTGCAAGGGGCGCTCATCAAAAATGACCGCAGGCCCAGTATGAGGTTGAAGTTCATAGCTCGTTTCGTCTTTGCCGTTGCGATTGGTCCACTAGCTCAGTACCCTATCAGTAGCAGAGACTGAGTCAAACACAGCGCTGATCTTCTCTGTTGTCCTCCTTGCTACAGAGTTCATTTGAGGATCGTAAAGCATAATCATTGATTGCAGTCACTGACCTATTTTTATTACTAGTTGATTAACCCGTTAAGGGCTTGCGCTTCCGAAAATGTTAAGGCACTTGAAGCATACTTCAACATACTAACGTATTTCGCAATGAAACGGTCTTAGACGGAAGGAATTTGAAATTGAATAGAAATGCGACAGGAATTATGAGACAACCCAATAAAAAGACGGCATTCGTTTCAACTCAAATTTTAAGTTATATTACTTATTACTTCAAATATCTCAAGGGGCGCAAGCATATACACGGTATTGAGAAAACATAAATTTTTGAAATGGCGATCAGTCAAGAAAAGGAAGCGCGAGGAAAGAACGAATTGAAAGCCCTTTATTTATTCCCTCACTTATTTCTTTACGTCCCCTGGATGAGCTCAGAAACTATACAAAGAATTATTCAGATAGAAATATTTTCAAAGGTAATTTGAAACTCGGTAAACTTGATTTCAGAAATACTTTAGATGGCGTTGCAGTAAATGTAATTGCCAATAATTTCTCAATCTTCCAGTCAGTTTGGGTTCTGCTCAAAAGTGCAGCATACCAATATCACATTATAGCCTACCTTCACGTTCAGCCGGTTGTCGCCTCTCTAATTCAGTGGCTGAGGAAGCAGTGGAAACATCAGTCATGTTTTTATCTGCCTGAAAAGGATTAATTAGGTGAATCAAGATGCTTCTGCCAACTTTCTCGCAGCTGTCATAGCAGGAAATCTAATCGTCGGTGCTCACAAGTTATGTTTTGGAATTTTTTATCTATTTGGAATGATGTAAACAGAACAAACCTCATCATCAGCTTCTACTTCAGGTTTGAATGGTTCACTAGATGAAGGCATCCCTGCTGGTCCCTTCATACTGCTGCCCTCTTCGCCAGCAACTGGTTTCGATTCATTCACTTTCTTCCTGCCAACCATCATCATTTTACGCAGAAACGCTTGTTTATCGACACCTGAATACAAGATGTTGTTAGGGCCCACAACCTAGGAATTCTCTGATAGCCTAAGGATAAAGCAACGCTGTAGGTACTCATGATGCCTCACCACTTGTGTTAGTACCGGCCACTTTAAGTTCTGGTAGCGCTACTGGCTTCGCAATTTTAACCAGCTTTTCTAGCCTTTGCGCATCATGTGTAAGAGCGACCAATTTCTGCCGGAGTTGGGAAGTTTCGGTTTTCGCCTGAAATCATAAAGTTAGCTCGAATGAAAAGTCTAAACTGTTTACCATTCGCATACCTTCATGTCAGGCACCACTCCATGACCTTCATTCAACTGCCTACAGTAATCATCTAAGGAATCCCCAGTATTGGTTGAAGTGTGAGCCTATAACTTTTGTCATCAAAAACTTTGGAGAAAAAGTGGAAGAGGATGGCGTTATACTGAGGAATTCCAATGTAAACTACCGTGTGTATCTCGTCCAGCTTTGTCTTCAACTTTGCAATGTTTTCCCGTGTTTCCTCAAGTTCCTTGCATAACGATTCATAGGTACTCTTCTTTTCAGTCCTTTCACCAGCTTTATTCTGAACCAAAGGATACGATTAAGAGGGGTTACTTAGAGGCAAATCTAACTTCGACAATTAACGCACAGCTAACAAAACAAATTTCTGATAAAGTAGTTCGACTTACTTTGGCCCACATCATGCGCTTTTCTCGCTGTCTTTCAATTTGGCCTGTCCGATCAAGATACTCGTCGTCATCCTCATCATAAAAATCGTTCTCTTCCAGCTCGTTTCTTTTCGCCCTGGCTTTTGCATTTGAAGACCTGAACAGAGACATGAATTACCTTTGAAAACATGGTGAAAGATGTAGCTTTGATTTCTGATAATAAATACGAATATGAATATGAAAGAAAACCATGAGTTGTCAGCACTATACCTTAGAACTCCATAGCTATCAAGAACTCTGCACGCCTCCAAGGCGCACTGAACCTGTGCGTCCTTTTTCGATGTAGAAACTATCGCCTGTGCAGTATAGGTGCGATCAACACCATTGATTTCGATAGGAAGCCTGAATTGCAAGTTATCCATTGAAACTTCGAACATATGTAAGTCATAATCGTTTGGCTTTGCACCGCTTACTGTACCTAGGGCAGATGTGAGAGTTATCAAATACTTTATAGGAGCGCTACAGCGACAAAAACCAGAGTTTGGGTGAGCTTTCCAATGTGATTTTAGATTGTTCATATGATGGTCAATTACAATATGCCAGCATAACAGCATTGAAACTCAGCGAGAACCGTCCACACAATTAATACAAAAAAGGAGGGGACGAAAATTTCATGAGCTCACTCGATGGTGCACAGCCATTTGTGTGTATGACCTGAACCTTGTTCCGTCAATTCAAATTTCATATCGAATCCTTCACGTTCGAAGAACTTTGCAAGGGCTTTTTTAGGATCTGCTTCATAATATTGCTCGCGATCCTCCATCAAGTGTCCATCCATCTCTAGCTAAATCATCGAAATTTTCGCTAAAGTGAAATGTCGGAACGAAATCAAAATAGCTTAACAAAGAATGACTAAAAGCATCATACAAGCAGTTCTACGAACTTACTTCTACACCAGGTGTATAGTCTTCATCAAAACCCATGCCCCAGTCTATACCTTCCGATGCCTCAGCCTCTTTTGCCTTTTCTGCTTCTAACTCCTTTCGAGCTGCCATTGCCAGCTTAGATTCCAGGATCTAAACATGATGAAATAAATGAGCAATTATATATTAGGCATCGCCGGTGCACTTACCTTCTTGTGCATTTTCTCCCTCATTTCACTGGGTGAGCACTCCCACTCAGCTTCACAGTCAGTAGAGGGTCCAAGCAATGAAAGCAATCGTGTGCTACCTCAAAACAAACATAAAGAGCGTGTTCTAGCAAGAATAGGAACGATCGCGGGGAATGCCATACATAGCAATAGAAGCCTAAATCTGCAAGTACCTCCAAATTGCAATACGAATCCAACCATAATGCGCATGTACTGCTTGGCTGGTACTTTCTTTTTGTTCGCTTTGCTACCATGTGTACTACCCATATCGTATATGTGCCATCCTTTGCCGGTTCTATCCATGGGATCCTCACCGTATTGTAGAATGCAATGATAACGTGAAATTGACGGATGATCTGGAATTTGCTAAGTGCAAGCACCTCAAGTGGAATAACTATACCATAGTTATACTGAAAGATTAATGTAATCGCTCTCCCTTCAGAATGATACAGGTTGAAATAAGGAGTTGGTCCTGGTGGTATCTAGAACGTGGTTACCGAATAATCCTCTCATAGGGGTTCTAAGAATCAAATGAGCTCGGAAATATTTATCGTTTAAACTACACTATGAGCTAGTTATAGTCGGTCGTA